AATGCTTTTTAAGCTAAAAAAAGGGGGTGGGGTCGTACTATACATGAGATCGTATTATACACAAATAAATACGGTAATTGGATATCAGTGGTGTATTCCTTTGTGTTCTTGGTATTTCTATAAAAGGAACATTGTTTCCATTCTCAGGTAGTTGCTGCTGCATACATATTGCTTTGCTGGAGCAATATGCAGGTTGTAAGAAAACCAACTATGTCTGTACAATGTTTGTGCAGCACCAGTTGTGAACTGAGTTTGGTCACATGATGTAAACCAATAGAAAACCAAGTTTTTCTACTTTTCATTAATTCCACAAGCATGGACCTGGAAGAAATTGATGTTCAAGTTGCTGTTGTGGGTTTGGTTTATACTTTACTTGAAGACAGCAGACAAACAGCCAGAGCAGAGCAACATAGATCACTAATGAGAAAAAGACCCTGAAGACTGTAGGTGAGATTGTGGCTGCAAAGTGAAGCTTGCGATTTAGGCTTCACCACAGTCTCAAGAATTGCAACAAGAAGATGTGATGATGTAAAGTGATGATAAGATGTTAAGTTGCCTTCAGGCCCAGGCTTCCTTTGCAGAAGAGATCTGTGATCTCAATGGGATTTGCCTGGTTAAATAAGGGTAAACAAATTCTGATGTGCACCACAAATACAATGCAGCAACATCACCAGAAGAACAAAAACACGTCTGTTACACCACTGGAATGTAAAAATTGCTATGTTTATAGTGTTGGTACTTTTCCATCTTGTAACGAATACATGCGCAGATACACTGTGAATAGAACACATACGTCAAAGATGTCATGTCACTTGATATTTAACAATTTAACTTTATTTATTTTGACGTTTTGACTACTCTGAAAATATGCACTGACGTATGTGGCAGTTAAAGTTATTTAAAGTAAAAAATAAAATGAAAGCTTAAAAATTTTAAGCTTTTTTTCCTTTTCTGTTTTTAAAGATTTGATCTTTGATCTAATAATTATTGGGGGATGCCTCACTGTTCTTGTGAAACTCCGTTAACATCAGTCACCAGTCAGAACAGTTTTATGGGACGAGGACGCCGTCCCATCGCTGCTGACACCTCTGCAGAAAAAGCTTTTATGATTTGTTTCCACTCCTCCCTTGAGAGGACGAGTCGATTGAAGGGCTGTTTTTGTTGCTGTGGGCACACACACGACTTGTGGCTTGGTTTTTGYAAAGATTATTAAGGTATAAATTTCCTGGGAAAATGTGCACAACGTTTTGTGTCCTTTGATTTCGAAGTGTCTTCTCTTGGTGGCCAAATTGAGAAATTAGTAGCAGTTCTCAGCAAATATAGTTTTGCTTCTAGATGGCAAATTAATTGGAGTATAAAGCGGGGCTGCCTTTTTCTTCTTTTTTTTATACCACCACCTCCCACACTACCTACTTTCATTTGGAGAGGAAAGTGCAATGCTTCAGCATGTTGTTAGCGCAGGAAAGAAGAGGAACAGAATGCTAACTGTGAGTAATGTGACCCCGACGCTCTGCCTGCCTGTCACTCATCATGGTATGGAAGGGCTTGAAGCACCAAACAGAAACGTCGGTCAAACACGTCTTTGACTGCGCTCCGAGCAAAACTTCTGTCAATAACAACATGAAGGGGAACAATTTCAAATGTATATTTTTTTTCCAGCCAGAATAGTTTGGTGCAATAGACAAAGAGCAGTTTTGGATTTTTTTTTGTTGTTTATGATGAAATAAAACGAGATTAGTTTAACTTGTTTTCCCACTTGTAAACACTTTGTTGGCATTTTCTATCCATTGCGGCTCCATATGATAAACTATACTGTTTCCAGCACGCCTGTACGGTTGTGARGGTTTGTGTGGATCGGCTTTAGACCAAGGAGGGGGAAGAGAAGCACATGAATCATAACTAGCTTGGTGGGTATAAAGTTAATTTTTTATCCAGACAGACCATCAGTCAGTCTTTACAGGATATGACCAGACCTCCTGATATCAATCTGCATGGAGGCATCTTCTTTTTCCCCAGAGGGGTGMGGCGGGAGAAGGGGGAGTGCTTTGATTTAAACGGCTGCATTTATCACACCTGCTCCAGCCTCCTAAAGGATGGCCATAAAGACAGGGGAGAGGAGAGAGATGGAGAAATGGCTCATGTGTGGCCTATCAAAAGAAAAGGTAGCTGAGTTTAGGACTTTGTTAGAACTCATTTTTATGTGTTTGGACTGTGTCAGATTAGATGGGTTACATTTCTTCAGTGTTAAATGTAGAGATTTTAAAAATTTGGACTATTGAAGTCATTTTTGAGGAGAGAGGTGTGGCGTTATTAGCTTGTTTATTCTTACACTTAAAAAAATCTCCTACATTTTGAGGAAATTAGTCCAAACACGAGGTCACAATGCGACATGTYACAACTTTATCCACCYATTTTTATGACCCCCGCACGCGAAGCATAAGTGGGAGTAATATTGTTTTCGTTTTTTTTTTTTTCAGTGATTTTTGGTCAACTGTAGCACAAAAACGGCTGCACCAATCAACATGAAATTTGGCAGGGCTGTAGAGGAGCCTGACCTACACTGCGCCAGCCAACGGTTTTATGATACACCCCATATTTGTGGAGGGGGCTCCTTTCAAAGAGGTGGTATCTGGACATGCAAAAAGCTTATAACTCAGAAACTGTTCAACATAGAAGCTTCAGATTTCTTTTGTTGTT